TAAGCAGCGGGGCTCTGCGTATCGCCTAACATTGAAAGACTGTGTGTTAGTGTTTTGGTGGAAGATGAGTCCTGTGATCCTTGTCCTCATCTGTCACTGCAGAATGTCGCAGACACTACAGTCATCATCCACCCACCTTCAGAGATGTATGCAGGAAGCTCTGTTGTGGCCGCCCAGTGGTAGTCGCCGAGGGAAAGCCTCTCCGGTTTGCTCTCATCGCCCTCTAGTGTCCGCACTGGAGTATAGCCATGTCTGAAAGGACCACAGCTCAGCCTGAAGCCGTCAAGATGGGACTCCCTTTGCTGGGGAATAAAAAAGATCCTACTTTAAATCCCAGCCACGCCACTTGTCAAACTGTGAGGTCGGTCCCTCTTTTTTAAACTCAGTTCCCTGGGCTGCAAGGTGGCATCCTACACCACCCGTGCTCTTGTAAGAATTAAAGGGTTATTACACCGTCCTAACATTAAAAAAAAAAAAAGGCTCTCCCAAAATAGGTCAGCACTAAGACTCTCAGCCATAAGCTCATGCTAAATCATAATGATGGAGAGGCACATCTGGAGCGCCTGTCGCCTCGTGCAACTGTCCACTCTTTATGCTCTATTTCCTTGTGGGAACGTGAGACACGAGGCGAGGATGCTGGATCTCATAGACCGTCTGGCCTGTGACAGGAGCTCAGGAAATACTTGTTGAGAAGGCATTGAGTAAAAACCCTTTTTTCCCCTCTAACCTTAACAGTAGCCTGTGGGTTGGGAGGACGGCTCCGCCGGGGTAAAATGCTGGCCTGTATGTAATCCATCAGTGGGAGTCAGAGGCAGACAGGGGGTACTGGGAGCAAGCTGGCTAGCTGGCTACCCACACTGGTAAGCTCTGGGTTCAAGAGAGAGATGGTGCCTCAATATATAAGGTGGAACTCCATCGAGGCAAACACTGGGAATGCACATATTCACCCACCCACCTCCACCCCCACACCACATACATGCACACTCACAAATATCTCATATTTACCATATAAACTTCATCTTTCCAAGTGTACAAGCTGACTCTCTTGCTGTGGGACTCTATAGTTTAGCATTATTTAGCAACTTGCACCTGCCCTGAATTGCTCTCAAACACACCTTTAAATGTCCATGGGTCTCACAATAAAGTCTGGCATGGGGACTCCTGAGCTCTAGGCCCCTCAGCAATCTGAAAATGAGAAGAAGCCCCTGGAATAGGTGGAGGAGGAGCTTGGTTAATAGTGGTAGAAGCCATGGGCCAAGCAGATTCTTCGGAAATCAGGATCCAAGGCCCCCCACTTATGCCTCCTCTTTTCTGGAGGAAACAGGGAGGGGGTGCCTGAAGCACCCAGAATATATATTGCTCGGACGGCTCAGTTGACAAGAGCACACACGAATTCAGTGTTCTTACATCTGCAATATCCTCATGGGGTTGACTAGAGAAAAGAACAGATAGAGTCAATATGAACGTCAATATTTTCTTTGTCCGATAATGATTATTCTCCTAACATTTTTGTTCCATTTTAATTGTAATATGTGTACGTGTGTGTGTGTGTGTGTGTGTGCACGCGCGCGCGCTGTGTGTGCATTCATGAGAATAGATGTGATGGTTTGAGGACAACTTGGGAGCGTTGGTTCTCTCTTTCCAACATATTAGTCCTGGGGATTAACTCGGGTTCTGAGGCTTGACAGCAGATGCCTTTACCCACTGAGCCATCTTGCTGGTCCCCCTAAATGATTCTTGTAATATCACATGCCCACAAATTCACAATCATGAAAAGAATGTAAATGGGACAGAGAAGTCAAATTTCATGTACACACACACACACACACACACACACACACACACACACACACAATCTATTAGACTTAGAGGGAGCTAAGTTTTAGAATAGGAGCTTACTTTATTCTGAGTCATAAAACAGGGAAGCCAATGCCTGAGAGCCAAACATTGAGAACTGGCAAGCAGTGGTAGCTTCAGGCTGGTGGATGGCACCATCTGCCCAACAATTTAGAGTGTGGAGTCTATAAAACCACAAAGTTCTGCCAAATTAACAGCTTCACGTTGAGCCTAAGAGCAGGTGGCATTGAAGTGCTGGACTCTGCCACCTTTGCAGGTGGACAAGTCACCTGACTGGGGTCACAAAGCAGCCGAGAAGAACCAAATCATGCCATCCACCTGAAGGGAAAGAGTTATGGAAAGAGTTGAAATCCCTTTGAGATAAAAGGGGTACTTCCCCGAGACCTTATTTTAAAAATAATGTCAGAAGTAAAATATCCATCGACTTTAATGTGTCCTGTTTGAGAGATGAGGCCAAATGGAGGTGTGGACCCCTCACTGAATGCCTGAGTCATCCTGGAGCAGATTTAAAGCCTGGAAGAGAGGCTCAAACAAACGTGGTACATCCTGTTTTGGTGACGCTTATATTCTGAGAGGAATAAATAAACTGAGCAAGGTCATGGTACAGAGGACCACAGCAGGTGGGGTGGAGAGTTATTAAAATCATTATGAAAACATTTTAAGTCCACAGAAAAGTAAAGAATATGGCGAACTCTAACACTGTCCCTCAGACTGACAATGATCAGTTTCTCCATGTTTATTTTTCAATGATCCTTCTCTGTTCTCCTCCTCTCCCTCATCTTTCTCCACTTCTTTCTTATTCATTTTAAAAACAATTATCCACGTTTGTGCATCAATAAGCATACATATTTGGACACATACAGCACTCAGGTCGTCAGCCTTGGTGGCAAGTGCCTTTCCCTGCTGAGCTGTCTCTCCGGCCCTTCATCAGTTTTCAAGGAGATGCTTTAAAACGAACTCTAAAACTTGAACTTTTTACTCCTACATACTTCAGTGTCTATCACTAGTAACTTAAGAACAGACAAAATTTTGAAATTTTCTTTAGGTAAATTTCTTATATTTTTATACTTATATTGACCAGTCTTTCTTATAACCCAACAGGAACTATATTTATAGCTATATAACATAATTATAATAGTATATGTCATAAAACAATTCCTGAACATTGTAAAGTCACATTGAAAATGAGATTCCACAAATAGCTTGTCGCCTAGTAGCCTGAACTAAGTAACTGATTATATTCTGAGATAAGGGCTTTCTCTTTCATCTTTGCTGGAACTTTTATGATTTTATTTCAGTGCTGAAAAGCATCATAAAGGGAGCACAGCTGTGTAATTATTCCTCCGGTGTCCCAGGTGTGTTTGCTCTTGTTTCTTATCTTGTGATTTATTTATTGAGGAAGCTGGTGGTTCCTCTCACACTGGGTTTGTTCTCCTGTCTGCGGTTCTCAGAGCTGGTCCTTAACATGGTCATTAGATCCAGCCAGGATCTGCAGTTAGGCTGCACTAGCTGCGTTGGATCCAGAAGCTAGGGGACAATGGGTAATGCTGAGCCTGTCTCTCAGTGTTGCAGCAGAATGTCACTTCAGGCAGCTCAGAGGTCGAGTGTTTCCTGCTCTTCCAGAGGACCTGAGTTTGGTTCTCAGCACCCATGGTGGGTGGCTCTCAACTGCCTGTGTACTCCAGCTCTAAGGGAGTCAACTCCCTCTTGTGGCCTCTGCAGGCACTACATCCACTTGTATAACACACACACACACACACACACACACACACACACACACACACACACACAATTTAAAATAAAAATGAAATCTTTTAAGAACAATGTTATTTATCTTGATAGCTGACTTTTTTTATGGCATCACCAAGTCTTGGCCTTGGCTAGAAGCTGATTGTTTTCAGGTCCAATTTTCTTAAGAATACTTCATAGCCAACTGTATTCCTCTTGCCTCATGTTAAGATGGACCAGCCATTATCCATGGCTCAGAAGAGGAAGTGGGACAAGACAGAACTCCTAACTCTGTGAATTTTTGTTTGTTTTGTTCATACAGTCAAACATATTCTTACCACGTGACCCATACGTCAAATTTAAAAGTGTTGATTAGAGAGAAATAACAGTTCACACTCACACGAAGGCCTGAACACATGTATTCACAGCAGCATCAGTCATAATTGACCCCCAATTGAAAGTCCTTGGAACGTTTTGTAGCTGGTAAAGGGTTAACATACCGTGGAACGCCCATACAATGGAATATCATGCAGCAGGAAAAAGGAATGAGCTGTTGCTAGACATACCAGTGTAGCTGAATCTCGGTTGACTGATGCTTAATGAAAGCAGCAAAGAGGGCCTGGGGCTTTGGAGGTGGCTCGGTGGGCAAACCCCTCGCTGTCAAAGCGTGAGGACCCAATTTTGAATTCCCAGAAATGTAAAAGCAGGATACAGAATCATGTCTATGACCTCACTGTCACCAAAGGAAAATTGGGGTTGGGGACAGGCAACTCCCCTGAAGCTCAAAGTGTCAGGAGAGTGTGTAGAAAAGTAACCCTTAAAACAGGGTGTGATGTGGTGCCCGACACCGGAAGCTCTCCTCTGACCTCCACATGCATGCTGCTCTATGTGGGAGCCCTGCCCCCTTGCTCATATGTACATATTATACACACAGATTCTTTTCATCAGCTGCGTGATCCCATTTATATAGCTATCTAGAAAGAATAAAATTGTAGAACCAGAGAATAGATCAGCAGAGCCAGAGGAGGGGCGAGAATGGATCGGAACAGGAGCAGAGGGTGGTAGAATGGTTTTGTGGGCGGGTGGTGTTGAGCAGCTGGGAGTGTAGTGATGCCACAGACTGATACAGCAGCAACAACAACAAAGCTTAAAACCTGAATAATAATAATAATGAGCAAGCAGGGTTTCAGATGTATGTGCACCTGGCCCGTCTGTGCATGTCTGGAAACAACATGGTGAATCAGCCAAGTCTAGGTGGCATGTGAAAAGCTGGGGGAAGGTGGTCACCCAGTAAGGGCTGAGAGGTAGGTAGGTCCAGCCCACGGAGGATCATACAAACACTGTAAAGAACCTGCTTCTCCAAGATCATTCTGGTTACTATGTGGGGAAGAGAAAAATATTTCTTCATTTAAAAAATGTGATTGGGCGTGATTCCGTCCTGCGTGTCTGTTCTGAGGAGCAGAAGGCAGTTTCCTCCGTCCGACTTCTCTCACACCGAAGTGCGCGCCTCCACCTCATGGAAGACTCGATGGACATGGACATGAGCCCTCTCAGGCCTCAGAACTACCTTTTCGGTTGTGAACTAAAAGCTGACAAGGATTATCACTTTAAGGTGGATAATGATGAGAATGAGCACCAGTTATCACTAAGAACGGTTAGTTTAGGGGCAGGGGCAAAAGACGAATTACACATCGTAGAGGCAGAAGCAATGAACTATGAAGGCAGTCCAATTAAAGTAACACTGGCAACTTTGAAAATGTCTGTACAACCAACAGTTTCTCTTGGGGGCTTTGAAATTACACCACCTGTGGTCTTAAGGTTGAAGTGTGGTTCAGGGCCTGTGCACATTAGTGGACAGCACCTAGTAGCTGTAGAGGAAGATGCAGAGTCAGAAGATGAAGATGAGGAAGATGTAAAACTCTTAAGTATGTCTGGAAAACGATCTGCTCCCGGGGGTGGTAACAAGGTTCCGCAGAAAAAAGTAAAACTTGACGAGGATGATGAGGATGACGACGAAGATGATGAGGATGATGAAGATGATGATGATGATGATTTTGATGATGAGGAAACTGAAGAAAAAGTTCCAGTGAAGAAATCTGTACGAGATACCCCAGCCAAAAATGCACAAAAATCAAACCAAAATGGAAAAGACTTAAAACCATCAACACCAAGATCAAAGGGTCAAGAGTCTTTCAAAAAACAGGAAAAAAACTCCTAAAACACCAAAAGGACCTAGTTCTGTAGAAGACATTAAGGCAAAAATGCAAGCAAGTATAGAAAAAGGTGGTTCTCTTCCCAAAGTGGAAGCCAAGTTCATTAATTATGTGAAGAATTGCTTCCGGATGACTGACCAGGAGGCTATTCAAGATCTCTGGCAGTGGAGAAAGTCTCTTTAAGAAAATGGTTTAAACAGTTTGAAATAATTCCATCTTACTTAATTTCTGTAACAGTTGATATATCCGGCTGTCCTTTTTATAATGCAAAGTGAGAACTTTCCCTACTGTGTTTGATAAATGTTGTCCAGGTTCCATTGCCAAGAATGTGTTGTCTAAAATGCCTGTTTAGTTTTCAAGGATGGAACTCCACCCTTTACTTGGTTTTAAGTATGTATGGAATGTTATGATAGGACATAGTAATAGTGGTGGTCAGATGTGGAAATGGTAGGGAGACAAATATACATGTGAAATAAACTCAGTATTTTAATAAAGTAAAAAAAAAAAAAAAATGTGATTAAGCAGAAAAGCAAGCACAACCATGCCTCCAATGAGAAACCCAGTTAATGGGAAAATTGAAGCAGGACCGCGGCCTGGGAGGGAGAGGAAAGCAACCGCGCTTTGCCAGTATGGCTTTGCCCGGTGGTTAGAATGTCCTTGTTTGGCTAATTTCAGAGTTGCAGGGACAGGAGTTCCCAGAAACATGTGTGCCTGACCTTCTGTCTTGGGATAAACAAACATGGTGTCTCCAGGCTTTTCAAAGGGTCTTGGGTACAGAGTGACACGATCCAGACCACAGGAACTCCAGTGCCAACCTGCTGCCAGCTCCCCGCAGGGGCCCTGTTGCTATAAACACGGGCACAGGAGGCCAGGGCAAGTTTGAACACTTCCAGGGGCAGTTCCAAGGTCTTCCCGAAGCCCAGGAACAAATGGGGCTTAAAGGGAAGAACGGAGCCTCCCTGGCAGGGTAGCAGTGCTGACCTCAGAAAACACTGAAGGACGAGTGTGCTCAAGGCTGTTGGGACTCCTGTGAGTGTCAGCTTCAAGTGGGGGCTGGGGGTAAGGGTGGGCGTGGGGGTTAATGGCTGCTACTGTGGGAAAAGACTGGACAGTCAGCAAGATGTTTTGATGGACCTACAGGTTAGCAGGGGGAAAAAAGGAAAGAAAAAAAGCCAAGGGCCCGAGCCGTGCCTTGAGGCTGGAGAGATGGCTTCATGGTTAAGAGCACAGGATGCTCTTGCAGAGGGTCATGGGCTGGATTCCCAGCACCCACAGGGAAGCTCACAGCCATTTGTAACTCCAATTCCAGAGAATCTAACTTTGCTCTTCTGTCCTCCAAAGGCAATGCACATGCGTGGTACACAGACATACATGAAGGCAAAACACCCATGCACATAAACATAAGAATTAAAAAAGAAAGAGAACATTTGTACAAGCCGAGCACAGCAGTAAGTGCGTATAATCCCAGCACTAGGAAGGCGGAGACAGGTGGCTCCCTTGGATGACTGGTCACCCTGCCGGGCCTACTTGGAGAGCTTCAGGCTCCTGAGAGACAGTCTCAAAATATATGGACATCACCTGAGGAAGGAGAATGACCTACAGCCTTCACACACATACATGTGTGCTGCACCTGGGTACACATGCATGTGCTCACACACTCAGCGCCACACAAAATCCCCAGTTGGAGGTGGGTAAAATGGCCGCATGGCCATTCCTCTTGATGGTAAGGAGATCTTCCAACTTGAGAGCACAGAGTCTATATCGCCCCCTTTGAAGGCCCAAGGTTAGGTTGCTGATTTCCACTCCAAGGGGCCCTTTAATTTGATTTCTGGGAAGTTTCCATACCTCTTTCCTGCTCCACTTCTCTTCCAAGGTACCCTGGTCACCTGGGCCGTGGGCAACACCTTGTCAGTGAAAGGTCTTGGGCTTGGCCCTCTGGAATCATTAGCATGAGGACCAGAGCCAAGCCAGGGGCTCTGTTTCACGGTTTCCTTTCAAGGGAAATCATCTGATATGGCCCAGCCACGCAGCACTGCAGTCTGGATAGGCACAAACAAAGCAGGGGAATTCTAATTCCGAGACTCAACCCCCTTTCTACGCTAACACTGGTAATTGCTCTCTACAAAAATAGAGACAGAGAGAGAGAGACAGAGAGATAATAAAACTTATCTTTAACTGGCTCCAGAAAACCCCATAAAAGGCTGATGATTTCCTCAGCATTTCCCACGAGCTGCCTTCCATGCGGTCATCATACCAAAGTTCAAATTTTCCCAGGGTCAGGGAGACACCTGGGCAAACTGAAAATACAAACAAGACCTGAGTGGGGAGTCAGGAGAAGCAGGTTCCAGCCACTGTGACCGCTGGCTCTGTTAGCACCCCTTGCCCTTCTCTGGGTCTTAGTTTCCTCAGATTAAGTTAAAAACCAGGACATTGTATCATATGGTTTTACTCTCCAGTGTGTAGGCACCTTATTCTTAGCTTTCTGCCTTCTGGGCTGGAGTGTAGCCCAGTGGTAGAGCACTTATCTGGCATGCACAAAACCTTGGGGTCCATCCCTAACCTTAAAAAAATGTATTTCCTTATCTTCCTCATCTTTTATTCATTTTAAGATCTCATTTTTAATTATGTGTATGTGTGGGTATATGTGCACATGAGTGCAGTGCCTTCAGAGGCCAGAAGAGGGCATCAGATCCTTTGGTGCTGGAGTTACAGGTGATTGTGAGCTGCCAATATGGATGTTAGGAACTGAATTTGAGTCTTCTGGGAGGGCAACAGGCACTCTTAACTGCTGAGCCATCTCTACAGGCTTCCCATCTTTATTAGATACGACCTCATGTGTACAGAAGGCTCTGCTTGGGTGTGGCACTGCTACCCAAACCAAACCAAACCAAGCAGAAATCATGTCTCCAGACTGCCTTTCTCAGTCAGTACCTTCCTCTTCCCTCTTACTGTGGTAGGGCAGTTTTTGCTAAGACCTAAATACCAGCTTTTCCTTCCTCTTGCAGGGCCATGTCCCTCTACACCTGGGAGAAGGGCTGGCTCCCACCTGAGTCTCCTCTAGGTGGTCTCTTTCTATGTTTTGTTCTCTCTGGAAGTGCTGGGTTCTGTGTGGACCACAATTCAGACCATCACTAGGTGAGTCAACCCTAGCAGCCCGTGCCTTCAATGTGCAGGGAAGGCAGGCATGGGACCCTTCTCTTTTCACACCATCACTCGAGAGTGAATGTGTGGCTTCACTGGCAGCCAGAGGATGTTCCAACACATAGGAGAGCGTTTTTATGAGCAGCCAGGGCCACACTTCTGGTGCTTACAAGAAAAGCTGCAGGCAATGGGACACGTGACAGGGCACACCTGATCTGCCCCCTGACCTCTCTGCCTTCCTCCCTGAGACACAGTCTTCTTAACAAATGTTCTCTGTGAGATGCTGTGATTGGACTGCATCACCCACGAACCATGCATTGGGGGAGACGGCTCAGTCCTTAAAGTACCTGCCTTGACCAGCATGAGGACCTGGGTTGGATCCTCAGAGCCCATGTCGTGGTGGGGGACAGGGGGCACTGAGGAGAAGGCTCAGTGGGTAAGATCAATTACTAGACCCGAGTTCAAATCCCCAGTACCCATGTAAAAATCCTGGACATTGCCACATGTGCCTGTCACTCTGCTGTTAGGAGGCAAAGGCAGGCCTAACCCAGGAGCTTGATGGCTAACCAGCCTAGTCCAAAATAGTGATTTCCCTCCTCTGGCCTCTGTGGGTACATACATACACCCCCTTATCACTCTCTCTCTCTCTCTCTCTCTCTCTCTCTCTCTCTCTCTCTCTCTCTCTCTCTCACACACACACACACACACACACACACACACACACACACAGAGCCATGGCACGGTGTCACATACTTGTATCCTAGCAGTGGGGAGGCAGAGACAGACAATCTCCTGGGCTTGCTGGCCAGGTAGTCTAGCCTAATTAGCCAGCCCCAGGCCAGTGAGAGACTGTGTCTCCAAAAAATAAATAAATAAGGTATATGACTACTGAGAAATGACACCTAGGATTGTCCTTAGGCCTCTACATGCCTACACACACATGCTAAATGTGCACACACACCTACATACATGAACACACACAAACACAAGAGGTCAATGTCAGGTGTCCCCTCAACTGCATTTCCACTTCATTTTCTGACACAAGGTATCTCGGGGAAACTGGAGCTCCCTGGTTCAATCCAGAGAGCACTCACAATCTGCTGTCACTAATGCCTACCTCCCAGGGCTGGAGTGAAAGGCATGCATCGTCATGACTGGCCTTTCATGTGAGTGCTGGGGCTTGAACATGCGTCCTTACCCACTGAGCCATCTCCCTCAGCCAGATCTTCCTTCAACAACAGCTTCTGGTGTCCCTCGGAAACTCTCTGGAAACCTGAAAATTATTGAAGTTCTCAGATGATGGGGCCAGCTGTTTCTCAGTTTCTGTCTCCATGGGTGAGTGTTCGGGGATTCTGAGTTTGTTTGCGTGTGTTCAGGGAAAGAGGGAATCCTTCCGGCTATAAGGGCAGCAAACAGAGGGATGCCTGACTCAACTTGACACACCTGGGAAGAGGGGACCTCAGCTGAGGAATTGTCTCCATCAGATTGGCCTGTGGGAACTGTTGATTGATGATTGATTGAGGAGTACCCCGCCCACTGTGGGTGGTACCATTCCCTGGGCAGGTGGTCCTGGGTTGTATAAGAAAGCAAGCTGCGCACAAGCCAGCGAGAGCAAGTCAGTAAGGGCATTCACTCCTCCGTAGTCTCTGTTTCAGTTCCTCACTCCATGTTCTTGCTTAGTTCCTTCCCTGCCTTTCCTCAGTGATGGACTGTGATGAGAAAATGTGAGTCAAATAAACCCTCTCCTCCCCCAAGCCGCTTTTGGTCATGGTGGTTATGGGTTCCCATAACACAGCGACATCTGGGGTGCAGTCACCACTACTCCAGGGTGAACGTCTAACCATGTAGGCGAGCCCTTCGCTTTAATGTGAAGAACTGACTGCAGTTACTACGGTGCAGGGCCCCTGGAGAGTGGACACTCCATAAAGACAGGCTGTTGAAGCATAAACATGCAGTTACCCACTGAGACCACCAGATGGCAACACACCAAAGGTCATGATAGAGCAATGTTCCGGCCTGGACTTTTCAAAAAAAAAACAAAGAAGAGGAGGGCAGTAGTTGAAGCTGGAGATGGGAGAGGAGGCGCAGATGAGTTTTGTCTTGATTTTCTTTTGGCCCTTTATCTTATTAGGTAGTTGGATCATAAAAATTCTTTCCAAGTGGCTGAAAAAAAATTGAGAACAACCAAGCCTCTGGACTGACATCTGTGTGTTCACTGACCCTTGGAAAGTGGACTTGGTCTAAGAACTAAAATATTTTGTCCTTAAAGATAGTAAATAGTTCCATTTGGTTGCTATGCAAACCAACCCCTGCCCAGAATATTTACATTTCCATCTGCTTCTCGCACACCTCCCTACCAAGTGGGCAGTTCTGAGAGACTGACTTGTAGAAACGTAGATATTAGGGTTTTATCAATTAATAAGCCCTTATTTTGCTCTGGGCTTGGTTCAGAAGGCTCTGTCTTTGGTGGTGCTTGGCCGCATGCCCTGGGCAGAACATCATGATTGCAGGAGTGTGTGGAGGAGGCTGTTGGACTGACTCATGGGAGATAGGAAGCAGGGAGAGGGAAATAAGCATGAAGACCTGAGTTTGAATCCATAATGCTCAGATAAAAAGCCGGACATGGCTGGGCGGTGGTGGCGCACGCCTTTAATCCCAGCACTCAGGAGGCAGAGGCAGGAGGATCTCTGTGAGTTCGAGGCCAGCCTGGTCTACAAAGTGAGTTCCAGGAAAGGCACAAAACTACAGAGAAACCCTGTCTCGAAAAGCCTAAAAAAAAAAAAAAAAAAAAAAAAAGCCGGACATGGCTGCACCTAACCATACCCCCCAGCATTGTGAGAGACAGAGCTTAATCGGAATTGTGAGCCTCTGGCTCAGTAAGAGACTGTCTGGTGGTAATAATGCAGAAAGTAATAGATAAGACACTCGGTGCCTTCCTCTGGGATCTGCACGAGAGCAACACACACACACACACACACACACACACACACACACACAGTGTTGCTACAAAAGAGATCGAGCTACCTCACTCCAAGTGAACAAAGCCAGGCCTGGTTAGCTCCTCACTGGAGAAGGATGAACAGACCCTGGGAGCTCACTGGCTGTCCTACTTGGTAAGCATCGAGCCAGTGAGAGACCCTGCCTCAAAAGAAAAACAAGGTGGATGGCACCCGAGATACAACACCGAGGTTGTCCTTGGGCACGCTCTCACACAGGAAGTCCTTATTCACATCAGGACTCCCAGCCTTCTTCCCCTCCAGTCCCCTGTGCCTCTATGCCCCCTCACTTCAAAGCCACCATGGAAGCTCCCACGTATGAGGGAGCAAATGTGCCTCTCTGAGTGATCACAGCCCTTCAGGCTCTGAGCTGTGGCAAGGAAAATGGCTGGCAGGAAAATGGTTTGCTATAAATAAAAAACAAAACCAAAAACAAAACCATTCTTCCTGGTCTCAGGTCCTACTGATGTCACGGCTGGACATCATTAGTATGTCCCTAGGCCACCCATGCGGAGAGGCCTTCGTAACCATACTCAGTCCTAGGTAGATAAATGGCCCAGCACCTCCATGGCAGACTCAGAGCTGGGGACTCAGCTTTTGACCTTCAGTTCCCTGTTTCCTGCTCCACTCCTCCCACCCCACATTGGGCAACCCCACACCCATCCCATAGACAAATAGCTTTCCAATTTTCCGGGCGCCTCTGGCATTGACTGTGTCCCTGCCCTGTTTCTCCATGCCCAAGGGCTACGAGAGAAGGCTCACACTCCTGCTTTTCTCCCCACACCCCGTGGCCTGCAGAGAATCAACCGCTGGGGCCTTTGCGATGACCTCAGAGGGAACTGTTGCCTGCAGACTTCCTGTTTTCATACTCTTTTCTCCTCTGCTTATTTTTCCTACTTTGCTGGGGTTTTTTTTGTACATTTCTAGTTCCCCTCCCTTAACCCAGCCTGCAAAACCTCTGCTTTATTTTCTGTGTTTATTTTCAATGCATATTTAGATAAGGAAAGGAATGCTTCTCCCCATTTTTTCCATTTGAGGAATCCATTGGGTGGTGCCTCACTCTGCTTTCCCTGTCCTCATTCCCCATGATTTATTTCCCACACTGTGGTCTTCAGCCTCCATAGCTCAGAAGAGAGACAACTTTCCAGGGCCCTGTTTGCCAGTCCCAGGTAAGCGCTGGAGTCCCTCAGCTGGATGGCATAGGAGACTGAGAGATCTCCCAGATCCCCACAGTTGATCTCCTGAGCTCTCTGAAATACAAGTCCCCTACTTCAAATATCACACGGGCTTTCCATTTCTTCAAGATCAAGTCTGAATTCCTTAGCATACGTGGAAGATGCTCCAAAGGCGGGCTGGCCCAGAGTAACTGCCTCGGGTCTCATGGTTGGTGCCTCTGCTTCTGTCCCACTTCCCCCAACTCCTGTTCTCCCCACAGTTCGCATCCCTTTCCCTCCAAGTCCCCTACGCACTAAGAGTAAATGGATTTGTATTTACTTTAGCTATGTTTCTGTTTCCCCTCTCTTTTGTTGGAGTAGCCGTGTTTGTGGGCACTTGCTTGTTTATCTCTTCCGTCCAAGCAACTAACCCAGGGCCCATCCTGCTTAGCTTCAGGGATCAGAGAGAATGGGCACATCCAGGGTGGTGTGGCTGAGGATGTGTGCTTATTTTGGAAGCAAGTGACTTTCTCTTTGATTCTGTGTGTGTGTGTGTGTGTGTGTGTGTGTGTGTGTGTGTGTGTGAGAGAGAGAGAGAGAGAGAGAGAGAGAGAGAGAGAGAGAGAGAGAGAGAGAAACAGAGACAGAGACAGAGACAGAGAGACAGAGATTTTGCTCACTGTAGTCTTTGACTGTCTACTACAGCTTATGAGGTAAGGCCCTGCGGAGAGGAATGAATTGAAAAGGTTGGCCGCTCACATGTTGATCTCTCAAAGCAGAGACCACGGATCAATTAACAAGAAGCTAAATCTGGGGCAGGTGGAAAAGAAATACCATCTTCAGGGCCTTCCCTTGTTAAACACTCAGATTCCTGGGCCTGAACCCCATACCTTATGAATGCAAGTCTTAGGCAGAGGCTCCAGGAATCTGCATGTTCACGAAACACTGAGATTCTGTTGCGCCAGTGTGACACCCTGACCCAGGGCTTCAGGAGCTGGAAGCCTCCAGGCATCCAACCCTAAGCATAGACTTTCAGATGTACAGCCCTTGTCAGTACATCCACCCTTGGTGTGGCGGACACACACAACTCTGTCCCCTTGCAGAGGCACATTCCTCACCTACTGCACCACCACACATTTGTCCCGTGTCTGTCTCGGCCTTTAGCCACACCTTCCCACCGGCTGAATCTAGCGCTTCCTCCACAGGCCCTTCTGCGCTTGGGCTTTCTCCCAGATCCTGTCCTTGACTTTGTCCTTGACATTCTGTCCCCAGCCCATGGTCTCCACTTCCACATGGTCAGGCTGACAATGTCAGAACTGACATTTCCAGTGTGGTTGCTCTCCTTGGCTTCCCGCCTAGGCACACACTGCCTTCCCAAGCTCTCCCCAGCATGCACCCAGGCATCTCTGTTTTGTGTATCTTCCTCCTTCATGGCCTATGTCTGAGGGAGGCACCCATTTGGCACTGCAGTGGACACCTAAAAGTCACCCCACTCTTGCCACTTACTAGCTGCATCACCTAGAACAAGCTACTCATCTCTCAGTGTCTCCATTTCCTTATCTGAAATACGGACATTAGCGACAGTACCTACCTCATCGGGTTGTGAGCAGTGCAAAGCCCATAAAGTACCTAGAATGATGTCTGGCATGCTGAAAGTGGATGATAAACGTCAGCCATTAATAATCATGAGCCTGACACTAATAAATACTTAGCTGTTGATAATCGTATGTATTATCGTGGTCTCTTCCTCCTCCATTGTCTACAGACAAGGTAGATACTAACTCTATTTTCCATCCCTTCTTCTCTGTAACCCACCTCTCCCTCCCTATCACCTCTGCTCTACCAATCCTCATTTCTTTCCTCAACTAGTCCAGGTCTGACTTCTCGCCTGGATTCCTGAATCCTTTATCA